AAAACCATCGTCGTAAGGAAATTTCACACATTTCCCTTTAATGTCGTGAATATTGACTGTGTACAAATCATATGACAAATGTTGTGTTTGCTGAATATTAAATAATTCTGAGGAACAAGGTGAACTGAAAAATGGTTTTGATTCAATGAATTTTCTTCCCTTTAAAAAGATTTCTGAAGTCTTGATTTCTTTATAAATACTTTCGACACAAAATACACAATTGTTTTTTAACATAACGCAATTATCTTTATCACATGTGCTTAGTTCAAACTTTTCAATGATTACTGTTTTGTAGAATATAAAATCTTGTTTATGAAATTGATCAGTACATTGCTGACGTAAAATTGGATACGTTTTTTCATTATCATTGTTTTGCATATATTCTTGTTCTTTTAACCTATTACAAATTTGTTGTAAAGGATTTCTTGTAGCTTGAATTGTTTTTTTTATCTCAAATAAATAATTTTCATATTTAAAACAACTGAAAGTGTCAAGTGGACCATGTTGCAAGCAATCTATGGGCAAATGTATAAGGCCATGAACATTATGAGTAATATATTCTTTTCCGTAAAGTATTGCATATTTTTGAACAAAGTATTCGAGTAGTTTCAATGAATAATTATTATAAATTCTGTATAATGCAGGACTGCATAAAATTCGAATAGCGCAGGATAAGGCCATGAAATGTGTGTATATATTTTTGTTTGCAATCTTTTTTAAAACAATTGGTCCGGTGTATAATAAAAATTGCCTTAATTCAGTGGCTTTATAGTATTCAATGTCCTCTAAACTTCTTGGCAAGCGTGGAAAATCTTTCGGCACATAATTCTTCAAAAACAATAATTGATTATTAATATCATTTTTATCAGTCTCGGGTAAACGATGATTTTTTTTCCCTCTTATCCAAAACATAATTAATCTTTTAACTACGCCTAGAAATACAAGATGCATGCCATCGAGAGGAACTTGAGATACGAAACCAATATTTAGCTTTTCGAAAGGACTTGTATCTTTATGGAATTCCTCATCTAATTTATTTCTGATACTGAAATCAGTCCGCAATTGTGCATTTGTTTGTAAAAAAGTCATTCTTCCATTAACAAAGGTCCCTTCTTGAATGCATTTTGTGCAGGCATTATAGCCTGTATGACCTTTAATACATAAAATAAATGATTTTGCAGGAGCATCACAAAGAAGTTTACCAACCTTTACTTTTATTATTTTTTTATTTATGTTAAAACCATTTTGTTCTAAATGTTTGAACTCTGTTATAAACTCAGTTAAAAATTGGTCTACATAGGCTGGTTTCTTGTGTCCGTGATATATCCCAGCCGCAAAAGGTTTTTTAATATTTTTATCAACCAGATTTAGATCTATGGAGATAAGAATAGGCCAGAGTTGACTTTTTGAAGAATTAGATATCGGTAAACCATCAATGTTTATGTTAAGAGGTAATGCTATTTCTACATTTTGCATCAAATGTTTTTGCATATTTAAACTATTATTAATTATCCTACGTAGTCCATTCTCTATGCCAATGTGACAATAGAAACCTGGAGGAACACTTTTAAGTTCATATGGACATGAACTTGGTGTTTTTAAAAGAGTTCGCGAGTCTTTTGCTAATTGTGGAAATATCACTCGTAGAATACCCAACAATTCATTCATGGCAGATTGACTAAGCAAATGTCTGTATTTTAAAAACCATTGTTTCACAGCGTTAACTATGAAATCATTTACAATAGGGAGATTATTACATAAATTTTCAAATGATAAAGAAGTATCTGAACAGTTAATTTCTTCAATCACATCAATATATTCCAATGGTTCAATCTCAATTTTTTCTGGAATCTCGGGAATCACATTATCATGGTTTTCACATTGTTCTTGTTTTTCATTATGTTTCTTTGCAGTATCTACATTTATATTTGTAGTATTTACATTTATGACAGTATCTACATTTATAATTGTTTTTATGTTATTAGGCAAATTATTCGTCTGAATTAATTGTCGATTCAACTGCAAGATGTGTATTAATTCTTTTTTTACCATCCGTCTCATATGACGTTTTGTAACAAAACATTTTTTTATTTTAGCCATTATTGTTTTAATTTTTATGTCAGTATTGCTATTATTGACTTGATAAAAAAATCACTGAAAAAATTAAAATCATTCACATGAGATGCTCATATAGTTAATACGTAGTTTTTAAGATTTTATGGTATTTAACGTTATTAAAATAATATATATATACACAATATATACTTACATGGCAGGAATCTCGAACGTCACCAACAGGCAGATCCATTGCTTCCAGTTATAAATAAAGATGAATTTAAAATTTAATTATAAAACGACTTATAAAACCTCCAATAAAGCCCAACAAACACAATTGTCTTATTATTATATTTGGGTATTCTTATTCACATACGAAAGCTCCTGAGACGAAACGCCGCGCTCCCTAGTTACGCGTATCAACTCGTTGCTAACGAACGAGCGGTGATTATTATAGATTCCTAAAACATTCTTGGAACATGTATGAGATATTTGTGGTATAGTAAATATGTTACAATAGATTTTTTTTAAGTCACCACGAGTGAAATATTTTTTTCGACTGTCGCAAAGATAAATTGAGTACATATATGTATAAAACACGATTATTTATAAATATTTCAATTAAATATTTGTACATTTTTTAAATAAAAATATGAAACTATACTTTTGTTTACTTAACTATGTTTTGCATGAAACGTTAAACAAAAACTATTTTCAAAATATTATAAATTTATAAAATATTAAAAATTCAGTGATTTATTAATGTATACGTACTTTATTTATTAATGTATATATACGTACCTTATTTATATTAATGTATATATATACGTACCTGATATTTACTAAAAAGCTTTTGTGTTATTATTTCAAAAACGTTGATGTAACACAATTGTACAAAAACAATTGTACAAACACAAATATATAAAATCTGCAATGCAGTGTAATATTTTTGAATATGTTACAAAGTAAATGTTTCATATAAAACGTTCATAGAATATTATGAAATTAAATGTTTCAGGAATGTCACAAATGTAACATTGCTGTAATGTCTCTGAACGTTACAAACTAAACATCCCAAATGAAACGTTTATGGAATGTTTTAAAATATATGTTTTATGAACGTAGCAAATGTAACATTGCTGTCATGTCTCTAAGGTTACAAACTAAACATCCCAAATGAAACGTTTATGGAATGTTTTAAAATACATGTTTTATGAACGTCGCAAATGTAACAATGCTGTAATGTCTCTGAACGTTACAAACTGAACATCCCAAATGAAATGTTTCTAGGATGTTGCCAAACATTTCTTTCCTAACATTTCAAATTATCGATATAACAGCCAAAATGTTACATTTCTGGAACAGTGCATGAATGTTGCAATTGAAATGTTATTTTGAAACGTTTACGAAACATTTCATAAACATATTTATGTAACGTTTCAAATTTGCAATATTATTGCCGAAATGTAACATCCCCTGTATGTTTCATGTTTAGCGGGTATATATATATATAATTTTTCTTTATAAAATCAATAAAATCAATGTTTACAAGCAACTATTATAATAAATATATATATTTAAAATACATCTAATATATATAATTTTGATTTAAACACCCTTTATACTGCGCATGATGCAACACGCCTTAACCGAACAAATATTTTGGAAAATCGTTCGTTTATATACAAACAGCAAGTGAGTAATACAATATAGAATATAATATAAAAAAAATAAAATTACATAACTTAAATAATGTATAATAATAGAAGTTTTATAAAATGTCCCTTAATTTTCTTGCTTCTTCTGACATTATTTCATAATGGTGTTTTTTAGTTTTACAATTCCGCTATTTTTCTCGTTTTTCTACTATATTTATTTTTAATTTCATTATTTTTACTATGAAAACCGCTTTTGTAGAAAGAAGTTGTTGATTTATCGTTGTCTCTCTTTCATATGCAGATTCATTGTTGTTTTGTTTATTTTTGTTTCATAATTTGTTATTTTTTGAAAATAATTTTTAAAATTATTTTTATTCTTTTTATTATTTCCCTTATTTATATATATGTATATTGTCCATAATTCTTATAATTTCTTTTCTTTTAATTGCATCTTTTGCTATTTTTTATTTGTTTTCTAATCTTTTTTAACAGGTTATTAAATATCTAACATCTCTTTTCCATTACCTTCTCCATTTTTCATTATTCTTCTCTCGTAGATCTACCTACTTATTTTTCTAATTTTTTGTTTTGTCTTTATTTTCTTTTAATTTGTTTTGTTATTGTTCAAAATCATTTTATAACTCTCTCAATACTTTGTTCAAATATAATCTGTTTTAGTGCTTTAATGAAAAATTAAATAATATATTATTTAATTGCATTTAAAATTATGTTATATTCTTTATTATCATAATATAAATATAAGATATATAAATAGATATATAAATTTGTTGTGTGCCTCGGGAGAGACACTTAAGGGTCGCGCCAAATTGGGATGGGAATCCGGGGCGTCAGGACTTGTCGGGTGTTTGTAGAAAATGCACTACACTTTTTGTATTAAAATTCTTTATTCAACTTCAACCACTTGGTCTTTATTTTATTCCACTATTAATATACTGAAGCTTTATCGTGTGTGCGGCACTGACTTTCTATTACTCCGCGTATCGCGCACAACTGCGAGTCGATGCTAGGTGCGCGCGCGGTTTAGCGAGATCGTGGTTAGAGCGATTATTTGTGTCTGCGACTGGACGCCCCGGTCCACCACGCAGTTCACTGATCAAACTCAGTCCAATCCTCGACGACCAAGGTGTACTGCGCGTAGGAGGGCGCCTCAAACACGCTCTGCTGCCCTACGACGAGAAGCACCCGGTGATCGTTCCGCCGGCCTCCTGGATGACGCGACTGCTCATCGAGTCCTGCCATCGTCGGTCTCTACACGGCGGCGTCCAGATGACTCTCGGCTTGCTTCGTCTTCGATTCTGGGTGCCACGAGGAAGGACCGTCATTAAGCAGCAACTTCATCGGTGCGTCACTTGCACTCGCTGGCGAGCGGCCACTCCACAGCCTCCAATGGGCAACCTTCCGCGTGACCGAGTGACGCCGACTCGGCCATTCCTGAGCACTGGCCTGGACTACGCGGGACCCATCTTCATCCGGACCAGCAAGGGGCGCGGACACCGCTCACAGAGAGGATACATAGCTGTCTTCGTATGCTTTTGGTCGAAGGCTATCCATCTCGAGGTCGTCTCGGACTACAGTTCCGAGGCCTTCATCGCCGCCTTACGCCGCTTCGTCTCCCGCAGAGGCCTGTGTACGGACGTGTACAGCGACTGCGGCACGACGTTCGTCGGCGCCGATCGCACCCTGCGCGAGCTCTTCAAGGCGTCATCTTCCGAGGGCCATCACATCGCTCGCGCCGCCAACAATCAAGGGATCCGCTGGCACTTTAATCCGCCAGCGGCCCCTCACTTCGGTAGTCTGTGGGAGGCTGCCGTAAAATCCACAAAATTCCACCTCCGTCGAGTAATCGGCGAAACCACCCTCACATATGAGGAACTTAGCACACTCCTCACGCAAATCGAGGCGTGTCTTAATTCTCGTCCGTTGCAGGCTTTATCAGACGATCCGGACGACACTTCGGCGCTCACACCAGGCCACTTCCTCATCGGGGCGCCGCTATTAGCCGTACCTGAGCCATCGTTGACTGGTCAACCAGCATCCACTCTGTCACGCTGGCGTCATGTCCAATTGATGCGAGACCATTTTTGGCAGCGTTGGTCAGCGGAGTACGTGCACGGCCTTAACCCCCGCACCAAATGGGTCAAGGCCGAGGCCGCACCTCACGTGGGGGACCTCTGTCTCATTCGTTCGGAGCTCACCCCTCCGACTCGATGGCCTCTCGCACGGATCACGATACTGCATCCCGGGGACGACGGTATCGTCCGCGTGGTTTCGGTCCGCACCGCCACATCCGAATTCGTGCGCCCGCTCGTTAAATTAGTCATGCTTCCGGGCGCGGATCGTATTCCTGGCATGACTAACGCGGACACGTCGTCCGCCGGCACGTAATTCATCTCGCGACACTTTTCACCTCATGCATTGTATCACTTGTCACATCTCATTTTTTTTCATCCATTACCGCACTTACATTTGATCCATCACCGCACTGATAATTGTTCCGTCATCGCACTGCACTACACAACTCACCAAACACGCGGTTTCATTGCCTCAGCTGATCACCACATGTTCATTGTATCAGCTGATCGATTCACTTACCACGCGATCATCACGTGTATTTCTCCGCGCCTGCGCGTCTACCCCACCATCGATCACTATCGACTCGAGATTCCGCGGCCGAAATTCCACACATGTTGTCACTGCGCGACAAGGCGGGCGGGAATGTTCAAAACGCATCAGAAAATACTAGCCGTGGAATAAAATAAAATATTCTGTTCGAATAATATTTTATAAGATTCTAGAATAATCGATATTTACAGCAAATCGTTTTTTGTATGTTTTTCGCGGAGAAACACAGCGACATAAATCAATCTGTCTCAAAAAAACATTCCTCAAAATATCAACAATTAACGGTATCACAACCGTTCCGCCGAATAATTATTTTCAGTGAGCATGCGCGGCTTACCACGGGCGCCTCTTTTCACCAATAATTATCGCGATCACCCGCGCGCGCATGCTTTCTGCCAGCCGTCTTCCGTTAATTTTGACAGCGGCCAATAATGAGCTGTGCCCTCGAGTCACCTCGAGCACACTTAAAATTGCTCGCAATAATTGGCGCTTCCCGAAAAAGTGGGTTTTCTTCGGAAACCCATAAAAGAGAGCTCGCACCCGAAATCCGGGCCTTATCGCTTTTCCGCCGTGAACCGCATAACGCAACCGCAGATTTGTAAAACCGCTAAAATTCGTTGACAACCGCCGCTTATTCCGCACTTTGATTTTGATTCCGATTTTCTCTGTAAATTAAGTAAAATTGTAAAAGTTTGTTGAAGTGTTCGTTTTTAATTGTTTTATAATATTAAAGTCAGTTTAATACAAAAAGGTGACTCATCCTTTGGTGCAGCGCGATCCTTTCTCTCGCAGCGCGTTCGTGAACAGTGTGTATGCGAAGATTGTATTTCAGAGAAGGAGGGCGATGCTGAAAGGAGGATAAGAGAAGCCGATGTTCCCGAGGAACATAGGCCGACCACTGCCTGGGAGGTGTAGGCCTCCGAAAGCTGGGAGTGGTCTCGGCCACGAAGATCCAACCAGTGATCTTGACTGGTACCACGGGAGTCGGGTTGCCAGGGGGATTCGTCCCTCGTCCCGGCAATTGAGGTCGGACTCGTGAGGGTAGTGGTTGAAGCCGCATGCTGGTTAGGGGCTCTCGGGCCTCGACGGGTGAGCAGTGTATCTGCTCGGGCACCAGTCTTGCACAGCTGGTAGAGCGTTGGATAGGCGCTCGCCCCAACCGGTGGGTTGCCGAAGAGTCCTACAAACTCGGAGGCGCTACTGGTAGTTCCTGGCCTGCTGGAACGAGCTGATTGGGCTTATCCCAATTCCGCACCCATGGGGGTCGTGTGATTAAGCTCTCTGAGCAGGTACCGCACGTTAAATCAACCACGGACATCTGTCCCTATCTACTTTCCCCAGGGGGCTACTGACGATTCGACAGTAGTACGGGCATGACGCACCCGGGGCCCCGAGGTTCCTCCCAAGCCAGGATGGGAGGCATCGTGTCTGGGGCTGCATGGCCGCGGGGAGGTTAAGTTGCGCGACCGCAAACGATCCGCCAGGGGCACCTGGCGCAACCTCTGTGGTATATAAGTCACTTTACCCAGGTGATGGAGGCTCTGCCTGAGTGGACATTTTTTTTTTGCCATACTCGTGGGATATACATGGAAAGCACAAAACTCAAACAAAAACACAAAAACTTGGCTGATACTTCGGTAACGACTAATGTTGGCACGAAAGTAACCGAAACTCTGAACGCCGAAAAAGAGAGAGAAAGAGAATTGCTGTTTGCGCGAAGGGGATCTGTAAGTAGATCACCACCTCCTTCGGGTAGTACCCAAAAAGACACTGAAGAGACGCATGATGGAACACAAGGCTGAGTGATTCTGAAAATGAGGAGGATGGATATGAAAGATTAGAACAGAGCACAGGAGTAAATGAAGTAGAGGAGATGATGGAGACAAGGGAACAGCTCGAGACATTCATGTTTAATGATAACAACAAAATAACAAAATCTGCAATAAAATACATATTGTCCAAATGGGCAGTACTAGAAAATAGACTACATAATGTAGTTTTAGAAAAAGAAAAATGGAAAGCTGCTTACCAAGCTGTTGCTGACTTGAGGCCTAAAGGACTCTCCTATGCTAATGTTACGGCAGGAACTCCAAGGACTGCTACAGGTACTGTAAAAGAAAAAGAAAGAAGGTCAAATACTACGCACAAAGTAGTACTAATTAAACCTATAAAAGAAGACGAAGATGCGAGAACGAATAGTGAAATAAAGAAGGAGGTTATAAAGGAACTGACAAGTACAAATAAAAGGCTGAGGATAAAGGCAATAAGGCAAATGAGAGGAAAAGGAGTAGTGGTGGAGGTGGATGAAAGAGACGGGGACTTTGTGAAAAGAATAAACCTAACAACAAAGAAATTGAAAGTAGAGGAGCCAAGGAAAATAAATCCTACTCTTATAATTTATGACGTAGACAGGGAATATAAGTTTGAAGATCTCAAAGAAGATTTCATACTTAAAAACTGTGACGATCCGGATCCAATCAAAATAGAAGAATACAAAAAGGATTGTGTGGGAGTAACTATGACTCTCTCGGTCCTCAAAGCAACACGCTGCGATGGTACTTAGAGAGAGTCGTGGTTGGTTCGTGATGCGCCAACGAAGTCCTCTAGTAAGGACCTTCAGCCTCTCACGTCCAAGTTGTACCTCCACCTCCTCGTGGTGCTCCCGGAAACGGCCTACTTTGGAAGTTTAGACTCGGTAAGTGTCGACTAAGAGAGTGTACAGCGAAGTGCGCCCCTAAGGGCTTCGGCCCATGCGCCTACGGTCATGGTGAGTTGTGGGGCCAAGAAAGACCGGGGTTTCTTGGGGGGCTCTCGGTTGTCAATCCGTTTGCCCCCCTACACGCAGTTAATTATGGAGAGAAATTTGAATGAGAATACTGTCCCGGGTTCTCGGATGGCCCGGGGACTGCGTGCGAGTGCTCGCTTGAGTGAGCGCGCGAGAGGTGCGGAGGACCCTGACGGGGTCGCAGCTGGTCCGTCGCGAACCACTATAAGGACCAGCCAGGCTGAAGTGGACAGCCTAGAGGAGGAAATGGTCAGCTGTGAGCAGTGTTCGGCGAGGTTCCGGAACATGCGTGGTCTTGGTGTCCACAAAGTACGTGCTCACCCACTACAAGCCAACAGTGCTATCAATGTTGACCGCGTAAAGGCCAGATGGTCAGTGGAGGAAACTAGACTCATGGCACGCGCTGAAGCTGAAGGCACCTTAGCCGGGGAGCTTTTCATTAACCAGTATCTGGAGACAAAGTTCCCCAATAGGAGTCTCGAAGCCATCAAGGGTAAACGGCAACAGGAGCCTTACCGAGTGGTGGTTAGAGACTTCTGCCAAAAGATCCAATCGCGTCGCGCGATTGTGATCGATGAGGGCGATAGGGATGGTGCGGTGATGACACGAGCCGACACCATTCCTGCGGCCACTGAGGCTAGTACTGACGATCAAAGCGCACATCAGCCTCCCCCTGAACAAAGTTCTCAGAGGCTGCGGGACAAGATACAATCACTCGTAGAGCAGAGTGCGGCGTTCCGTAGCTACGAGGCTGATACTCTTGCTGGCACGGCAAGAGATGCTCTGACGGCGGGGAGGGTCGACGTCTTGGCTATCGAGAGATGGCTGGGCATGATCTTCCCTCGGCCGCTACAAGTGCGCCCTCCGCAACGCCTTTCGGCAAAGAAGCACTGTCCTCCAGTCAAACGAGAGAGCAGGGAGCAGAGGAGAAAGTGGGAGTATGCAATTGTGCAATCCCTCTACAAGAAGAACAAGAAGTCCTGTTTGTCGCGTATCCTCGAGGGCGACTCGGTGCGCAAGAGGCCGTCTGCTGTCAAATTCTTTAACTGCTGGCGCCTCATTATGGAGGCCTCCAGCGGTGCGGATGGAGACATGACGGACTTGCGTGAGTCGTTTGGGGAGGCGGCACAGGCTGCGAGTGCTGGCCGGGGCCGTACGTCGGGTTTGAGAGGGATTCACCTCGAAGGTCTCGGCGATGGCGCTGCCACGGATCCAGTTCCTGTGGCGGATAAGACCTTGCTCTGGGATCCTATAACACCTGCAGAGGTAAACAGGATTTCCGTAAGGACTGGCACTGCGCCTGGATTGGACCAGATTACGCCAAGGATGTGGAACGCTGTTCCTGCGATTCTTCGTGCGCTTCTGTTCAATCTGCTGCTCCTGGCAGAGACGATCCCCTCGTCAATCGCCACAACCAGAACGGTATTCCTTGAGAAGGGGGGTATGTCCGATCGGCCAGGTCCGACGGAGTACCGTCCTCTCAGCATAAGATCCGTTATAACAAGACACTTCCACAAGATATTGGCAAAGAGATTGGCAGCCCTCGACATCTTCGACAAGCGTCAAAGGGGGTTCCGGCCGGTGGACGGGGTATGTGAGAACGTCACAGTCCTTTCATCCGTGCTTTGGGACGCCCGGAGGCGTTGTCGTTCTCTGCATGTGGCGTGCATTGATCTGTCGAAAGCTTTCGATACGGTTGCGCACGCTGCTATTCATACGACTCTCGATGAGCTGGGGCTCCCTCGGGAGTTTAGAGAGTACGTAAGGGCTGTCTATTCGAATGCGCTGACCGAGTTGCAGGGGGTCAGCGCTGAGGAAGTGTCGGCCATCAAGATCGGCCGTGGCGTGAGACAGGGTGATCCGTTGTCGCCCCTGCTGTTCAATCTGGTCGTAGATAGAGCACTAGGAATTCTTTCGAAGGACGTTGGCTATCGGTTAAGTGGCCGGCTTATCAATGCGCTGGGCTACGCAGACGACA